CCTGCTCCTCCTCCTCCTCCGTCTCCCACTGCTGCAGTTGCCGCTGAGGGGGGTGGGTGTGTGGGAGCCGAGGGAGTGGCGCTAGGGGGGTGCCGTGGGAGTGGAGCTAGGGGTGCAGCAAGGGGTGTGTGAAAGGGGTGTAGGACAGTTGGGGGAGGTTGACGGAGGTAGCCGCCGTGACGTCAGCAGCGCCAGTAGTCCAGGGGTCACCTTAGCTCCGGTAGCCTAGCGAGCCTGATGTGCCTGTCGCCCGTGGGTCCGTTGCTCCAGCCGCTCGTCTTAGCCGCGGAGCCAGTGTCTCCAGTAGTCTGGATACCCTTGCTTGTGTCCGGTAGCCCGTGCGCGCCGCTCTTGTTGCCCGTGTGTCTGCGGCTTCACCTGTCGCCTCCTATCTCCACTCCTCTCACAGTCCCCCCTCCTCACTTGCCCTCTATGACTGCCTCTAGTTTTGCTTGTGCTTGTGAACTTCTTATGCGACTGCTTGCTGTGCTGATCATACCCCACTTTGCCTATGGGGGTGTGTCAGAATGCAAAAATTGTCTTGTCTATAGTGGGGTACTCTATAGTGAGTATAGCCCAAATTAGGGTTTGCTATATGCATCCTTCCTGCTGCTAGTGCAATCCCTCTTTTGCTGTTGATTCTTGCTTGCTATCTTGACACGTCATACCTGGTTTCGTCATCAACATTTCCACACCGACGACATTTCGCCTGGACTTCTACATTCAGCGCTCTTCTTTGTGGGACTTAACACTTGGATTTTTGTTGGTTTTCATCTTGGCGCAGAAGTGACACAATTCTTGGTGTGTTTTCTTGGAGGGGGGGAGAAAGTGCTCGGCACTTTTTCTTTCCTCGGCTTTTCCTACGGTACTCTTCTGACTTTGTCGGAATGCAGCAGCACGGCGGACAATCGCAATTCCTTCATCGAAATCTACGGCTCATGACCTTCGCGATTGAATTTCGTGTCAACTGCTTCCCTCCAAAATTGCGTCAGCTTTCGACCGTCAGATCTACACCGGTCGATCTACTTGTAATTCAATTTGGGCCAGTTCATCCTCGTCCGTCGGATCGAAATTTGACTTCATCAACGACCTACATTCCAACCTTTTCTTCAAATTCGCCTAAGGCATTTGAGCCGTCGGATTCAGCTGAAGAGGAGATTAACGGTATCCTCGCTAGTGTGGGGTCTATTTTTAGTACATGGCTGTCTTATTTAGAAGGTGGGAGAGTGTAAGGATTTACAAATCCTTACTGAGGCACTCGTTAGCGAGGCCATTCCGAGGGTCACGCGACGAACCTTTTTTGCCTATTTTGTCGCACCGAACCACTCCCGAGCCGCCTTCGCACAAATCGCAACTAGGGCCTCAAATATCAGGAAAAAAACCCTGAAGATCCTGATTTTGGCAGTCCTTTTTTTACCTACACTGAAAAATCAGTGTTGAGATTTTTGTGGGACTGATATTTCAGCCTTTTTTGTTAGGCCACACTGAAATTTCAGAATTTTTTTCCCAAGTACATGTCAGAATGTTATAATTGTCTAGCGTGCAGTGGAGTACTCTATAGCGAGTACAACCCAATTAGGGTTTCCTATATGTATGCCAACTGCTGCTAGTGCAACCCTCTCTTCTTCATTCCTCATTCTTCACATGCTGCTTGCCCCTGAGGGAGACCCGGATGCACCAGACATCCCGACTCCACGATCGTACGCTGAGGCGATCGAGGGTCCCTACTCCTCTCAGTGGCAGACAGCCATGGACACAGAGATGGCATCGTGGAAGTCCACAGGCACCTACGTCGACGAGGTTCCCCCTCCTGGGGCGAACATCGTCAGTGGCATGTGGATTTTCAGGGTGAAGCGGCCGCCAGGTTCTCCACCTGTCTTCAAGGCTCGTTACGTTGCTCGAGGCTTCAATCAGCAAGAGGGAGTTGACTTCTTCCAGACCTTCTCCCCCACCCCGAAGATGACTACTCTTCGGATGTTGCTGCACGTTGTCGCACAGCGTGACTACGAGCTTCACTCTCTTGACTTCAGCACAGCTTTCTTGCAGGGCAGCCTGCACGAGGAGATCTGGCTGCGCCATCCACCTGGCTTCACTGGGTCGTTCCCTCCTGGTACCCAGTGGAGCCTCCGACGGCCAGTCTACAGTCTCCGCCAGGCGCCACGTGAGTGGCACGACACACTGAGGACGACTCTTGCGGCTCTTGGGTTTGCCCCGTCGACTGCTGACCCGTCGCTGTTTCTGCGCACCGACACTTCGCTCCCGCCGTTCTACATCCTCGTGTACGTCGACGATCTGGTCTTTGCCACTGCTGACACTGAGACTCTTGCCCTTGTGAAGTCGGAGCTGAAGAAGAGACACACGTGCACAGACCTGGGTGAGCTGCGCAACTACCTTGGCCTGCAGATCACCCGGGACAGAGCACGCCGCACCATCACACTAACTGAGTCACACATGGTGCAGCAGGTCCTTCAGCGCTTCGGCTTCACCTGGTCCTCAGCACAAGCCACTCCTCTGGCTACAGGTCACTCGCTCTCAGCTCCACCTTCGGACGAGTCCGTAGAGCCGAGTGGTCCTTACCCAGAGCTAGTGGGCTGCCTCATGTACCTGATGACCTGCACTCGTCTTGACCTTGTGTACCCTCTTGGCCTTCTGGCTCGCTACGTGGCTCCTGGTTGGCACCGAAAGGTGCACATGGATGCTGCTAAGAGGGTACTACGCTACTTGTGCAGTACATCGGGCATGGGGCTCATGCTTGGAGGACGGGGTGACGTTGTCCTCACTGGTCACTCGGACGCCTCTTGGGTTGATGACCAGGCTACGGAGCGGTCATCACAGGGTTACACATTCAGCCTTGGTTCTGGTTCAGTTTCCTGGCGTTCTACACGTTCGTCGTCAGTTCTCGGCTCCAGCTGTGAGGCCGAGATCTACACCACAGCCATGGCTGCACAGGAGCTACGCTGGCTCACCCACCTGCTGACTGACTTGGGAGAGCGGCCTCGTTCTCCTCCAGTCCTGTACGTCGACAACAAGGCCGCCATTGCCTTGTGTCAGGAGCACAGACTGGAGCACAGAACGAAGCACATCGCTCTGCGTTACTTCCTTGCTCGAGAGCTGCAGCAGCGTGGCCAGCTTTGTCTTGCTTACGTGGCCACTCGGGCCAACACTGCTGATATATTCACCAAGGCGCTTCCGCCTGGTGATCATCAGCGTTTCTACACCTTGTCAGGCCTAGTGCCCACACTTCCTCACTTGTTGTAGGCTTTGTTTGTACTGTGAGCTATATATATATATCTACATGTGAACTGGCCTTGTGGTCTTTTGCTTGTGCTCAGACTGTGTTGTGATGTTGTGATCCACCCTGAGCTGTGTTTTGTTTCTTCTCTTGACTGGTCTTGTGACCGTTGCTTGCTCTGGCTATCTCCCATTTCGCCTATGGGGGTATGTCAAATTATATATATATGCTTGTTTAGGTTATCTAGGCTGTATGGGGGTTAGCACTAGGGGGTACACAAACTTTCTCGATACCCTAGTCTTGTACCCTAGCATTCACCTAATTCCAGCATCCTTGCCTTAGGTTCTTAACACTCTTGTTTCTTTTCCTCTTGTTTCTCTCTCCCTCCCTCTCAGCCCGATTCCTCTCGTGCTTTCTCATCTGCACTAATACATGGCACCACCAGCATCAGAAACGGCAGACTGTCTGGAATCAAACCCATCGCGAGCGCCGCCGAACCTCCTCTTGTCTCGCCAAACACATCGCTCCCGCTCGACGCGATCCGCAGCGCATGCTGCGAGATGGTCGTCGGCCATGTGGCAATTCCCGTCGGCGTCGCAATCTCGCTACGACTCAATGACGCGTGGTTTTTCGTGCTAATGGCGATGACCGAAGGTTGCCTCGTCGCCAGCACGAACCGCGGTTGAAAGACCATCTGCGCCGCGGGCGGCGCGCAGAGCGTCGTGCTGTGCAAGGGCATGACCTGCGCGTCTGCCGTCCATTCCCTCGCTCCCTTTACCCCGCACTCCGTCCACTCCCTCTCTCCCGTGGTCGTCTGCCCCACAACCGTGCCAGTCTTCCCTCCTCTCTCCCTCATGTTCTCTCTTTCCCAGCCTCACCCTGCCTGTCAATCCGGTTCCTCCCCCAAACCCTGCCTCTGCAGCTTCAACGTGTATGTGTTGCAAGCAGAAGTGAAGCCGGGGTGTGTGCTGCGGCAAAACACTGTCATGTACTGGTATCCCAAGCTGAGGAGGAGAGAGAACAACCAAAGGCTAAGGGCAGTGATGATAGCACGGCTGGTGATGATTCATGAGGCATGTTAGCTAGCAATGTTTCGGAAGGCTGCTACTGACTTATTATTTTAAATATATATTTATAGTAATAACAGCCTTTTATATTATTGAACACTGATGCATCAGCCTTTTTTCAAAGGCAACACTGATATTTCATGCTTCTTTTTTTTGGAACACTGTCTATCAGGGTTTTTACACAGGGGTACCCTGATGGGTCGACGACCCTAAAAGTGAATCTGAGGCCCTGATCGCAACCATCACCGAGCCATCCCATCCCGAACCCCCCGCCTAGCTAGCCTTTCCCCTATTTAGTCATGCCATTCTCATTGTATCGTCATTCAGTATTCAACCATTCTCGCTATTTGTTTTACTGCGCACTCTGCAAGTTCATTCATAACAAGAATGCTCATTTTTATATTCCTTTCACATTAATATGATGCGATACCTTATCTCATTATCCCATAGCGAGAGCACCCGAACCAGCCAAGCAATTCAGCCCTAGAACTCATGAACTGCCATCAGAGGTGCACGCGTGTGACGCACTCCCGCGAAGCGCATTCGCGGTTTCCCTCGTCCTCTCCGCGGTGAACCGCACTGATCATTGTGCAGCCGTATAGTAACAAACCGCCTGTCTGCAACGCACTTTCTTCTGCTAGTGCATCCACCCATCATACTTACACATGTCGTGCCACTGCGCGCCGCCAGTGCGAGCCGCCATGGAGGTGATCGCAACGCCTCCTCTGCGCGCTGCCGCGCCGTCGCCGAGCCAATGGCAAGATGGAGGACGGCCGAGGCTGCGTGCGGCCGTGCGGTGCGGCTGTGCTGTCTCGGGACGACCGGTCGTCAGGTTTGTCCACTCCCTCACTCACTCGCTCACTCACTCGCTCACTCTAGTCTACTCCTCTCGTGTTTCGCGTGACCCGCTTCTCAGCGGCGCCACTCATCCCCCCTTCCTTCCCGCACTTCCTTCCCGCCCTTCCTTCCCCCCTTCCTTCCCGCACTTCCTTCCCGCACTTCCTTCCCCCCCTTCCTTCCCGCCCTTTCTTCTCCTGTTGCAGGAGATTTCCTCGTGCCAGACTCCCATTGGTGCGTGCCCCCTCTTCACAACGCGTTTTATGGAACGCGAATTGCCAAACCTTTGGCGACGGCGGCAGCAGCAGCAGCGGCAGGCGGCAGGCAGGACATGCGCGAGCGAGTGGGGAGGCGGAGGGTAAGGGGAGATACGAGTGAGCGGGGTACGCGAGGTACGGGGAGTGGGACCTGCGCGCGGGGACAGGCGCGGAGGGGGAGGCGGAGGAGGGGGAGGTCGAGGGGGAGGGTGAGATGAGCGCGGGAATGGGGGCAGGGGAGGTCGATGATAGGGGTTGGCGGACGGCGGAGGAGAATCGGCGGGAGGCAGAGGCAGTGCGCGCAGCAGTGGAGTATAGAGACGCCGAGGAGTTTCTTAGAATGGATATAAAGGAATCCGCAAATCCAAACTACCTCGCGTCGCACCAGTCGTACCCCTCCCCCTTCATCTACATCCGCCCCGTCTGCTCGCGCCCCAACGAGGGGGAGCGCTTCCCCCGCGCGCGCAACTTGCTCGTGGGCAAGGCGGACCCGCTGGAGCGCGTGCGCGCACACATGGCGCGCGCCGAGGGGCACGAGTACGTGCCTGTGGGGATGAGGGATGGCGGAGAGGGGAGCGGGGGGGAGGAGGATGAGGAAGTGTGAGGGGAGCGGACGAAGCGGGGGAGGAAGACGAGGGAGAGGAGGAGGGGAAGGACGAGGACTCTGGGGAAGGGGACTTGGCGCGCAGTGGGGGGGTCGAGCGGTTTTGGAAGGAGGAGGAGGACGAGGCGTGGGAGGCAAGACCGCGGCAATGAGGGGGCTGAGCGGGTGGGCGCGCATGCGAGCCGCGTGGGCGCTAGAGGACCGCGAGAGAGACGCCGCTGCTGCTGCTGGTGCCGTAACAGCAGCAGGGGGGAAGCAGTTGGCCGTGGAAGGGCAGGGAGGTGGGGAGGGGAAGGGGGCTTTGCAAAGCGTGGGCGCGTGGGCACGGGGGGAGGCGTTTGTGGGGGAGGTGGTGCCGTTGGAGGTGGTGGGGGATAAGGAGGTGTGGTGGAACTAGCACAAGAACGAAGGTGAGCAGCAGATCTGAACCGCCTGGCAGAAGGAGGCCGCTGCCACCGATGCGGTGCGGAGGGGTGGGATGGGGTGCGGTGCAGTGCGGTGTGGTGGTGTGGTGTGTTCTACTGTGAGGGGTATCTCGTGAGGTATCTGTGTTTGTGATGAACGACGGCGAGCAGTAGATCTGGACCGCCTGGTAGAAGGAGGCCGTCACCACTGATGCGGTGCGCTGCGGTGGGATGGGATGGGACGGGATGGGATGGGATTGGATGGGATGGCATGATGGGGTGTGTAGGTTGTCATGGGTGGGTGCTGTAGGCATGATGGGAATGAACAGGCTGTCATCACCATACGGTGCAGTGTGATGCGTGCGGTTCAGTTTAGTGCAGTGCGGTGTGGTGGTGGGTCTGCTTTGCTTTGAGGTGTCAGGCGCCGTCGTAAGTGGGGCGTGTCTGAAGAAATGAGTGTGCAATCCATGGCATGGCGCCGTTGCAAGTAGGGTGGTGCAGTGGTGGGGTGCTGGTGCATGCAGCAGCGGAGGCGGGGCACATGAGGCTGCACGGCGATGTCCCTGTGGTGCGCCCCGTTGCTACCAGCAGCAGCACGTGCTCAAGCCACTCCCTCTACCCCCCTCTTCATCTCCGCCCACACCCCCACGGGGCAGGCGATGGCGCTAGCAGCAGCGGAGGCGGGGCACACAAGGCTGCACGGCAACAAGCCCACCACGGCAGAAGCGGTGCTTGCTAGGGTGCACCGCAAGCCACTTGCAGATTAGCGGTGAGAACAGTGCGAAGGTGGAGGTGAGGGCAGTGTGTGAGTGAGGGGACGGGGGAAGGATGGGGTACAAGAGAGAGGCGGGCGGGGCACACAAGGCTGCACGGCGACAAGCCCACCGCGGCAGAGGCCTCGTCGCCAGGGTGCGCTGCAAGGCGCTGGCGGATGAGAGGTGCGTGCACTGTGGGGGGGAAGGGGGGAGGGTGGAGGGATAATCGGGTGAGGAGAGAGGTGGGCACAGTGAGGGCGGGAGGATAGTGAGGGGGAGCTGGTCGGGGGAGGTGACGTTGGATGGATTATCAGGTAGAAGATTGATAAGGTGGGGCACTGGCAGACGAGAGGTGAGGCTGTGTGAGGCGACCTGCCCCCTTCCTGTGTGGTCTCCATGTGCTCCCCATGTGCTCCCCATGTGCCCCCCATGCGGCCGCTTGTGCATTCCCCCCATTGTGTGCACACTCTTCCCAGGCTAGCGAAGGAGGAGGAGCTGAGGAAGCGCTTGCGCGACCTGGCCTGGCCGCACGACACCCCTTTTGGTGTGCCCACCTTCTTGTGTGCTCCCCCCTCTCGTGTGTCTTCCCCCCTTGTGGCCCCACCCACCCATGCTCCCACTAGACTGGCAAAGGAAGAGGAGCTGAGGGGGTGCCTGGGCGACCTGGCGTACTACTAGGAGTGGGTGGCGGCATGGCCTCATGACACGTCACTCAAGGCCGTGCTTGTCATGCAGGTGCGATGCGATATGGTGCGGTGGGGTGGGGTGGGGTGGGGCCATGTAGGTGACATGTGTGGGGCCGTCAGGCGGGTGCGTGGGAGACAGGGCGGCCCATGGAGCACCAGATCCTGGACATGCTTGCAATGCAGGTGGGTGGGGATGGGGTGGGGTGGGGTGGGGTGGAGTGGGGTGGGGTGGGGTGGGGCCGTGCAGATGATATGCGTGGGGCTGTCAGGGAGTGGTAAGGGAGACAGGGCGGCCCATGGAGCACCAGGTCCTCGACATGCTCGCCATGCAGGTCGGTGGGGGTGGGGGTGGGGTTTGGAGCCACGACTCATGTGCCTCACCGCCCACCATTTTCCTTTTCTTCACCATTCGTTTTGCATCATCTCTCCTCCCCGCCCTCTCGTCTCCTCTCCCCCTCCCTCCCCCACGCAAGACCCAGCTTGAGTATGGCTGAATCGAATCACCACCCACCCACCATTCGTTTTCGTCCTACCCCGCACCCAACCCCTCCTCTTTAACAGACCCAGAAAAAGTACAACGCCATGTGTGGGTGGGAGGGACGTCAGGCTGATTCGCCACCCATCCATCCTTCTCCTTCTCCTCTCGTCACCGCTCTCTCTCCTCCTCGCTGCTGCTGTTTCCCCTCTTCCCCCCACCCCCCCCCCCCCCAGACCCAGCGCAAGTACAACGCCATGTGCGGGCGGGACGTGCGGCTGATTCGCCACCCACCCACCATTCTTTTACTTTCTACCGCTCTCCCCTCCCTTCCACTCGCCCCCTCCCCCCCCCCCCCCCCCCCCCCAGACCCAGCGTGAGTACAACGCCATGTGTGGGCGGGACGTGCGACTGCACAAGGACCCTCTGGCCATCCGCATGGACAAGAAGTAGTGCAAGCGCGGTGAGCAGCGGTGCAGTGCGGTGAGCAGTGCAGCGAGTAGAGGGCTGGTACCAGCAAGGTGATGGGTGGTACCAGCGAGGTGATGGGTGGTACCAGCGAGGTGATGGGTGGTACCAGCGAGGTGATGGGTGGTACCAGCGAGGTGATGGGTGGTACCAGCGAGGTGATGGGTGGTACCAGCGAGGTGATGGGTGGTACCACCATCCACTCTCATCCGCCCTTTCCATTCCTTCCTCTTCTTCCAGTCTTGTGTGGTGCCGCAGCCCACCTTGTCACCACACCTCCCCACCCTCCATGCGTGCAGCATGGGGTGATGGCCCTGTCTACCTTATAGTGAACTACGAGCAGCCAACACCCCCCTGTGGTGGACTACCCAACACCCACCTCGTCTGCCGATGCTCTCTGTGCTCCTCTCCCTTCCCCCCTACAGTGTGGGGCAGCGACCCCGTGTACCCCACGGTGAACTACGAGCAGGCGCCCGGCCACGGGGTGGACAACCGCGGCCCCAACTTCAACAAGCCCAGCGAGGACCCCTTCAGCGTCGTGCGCCAGGTGAGGTGCAGCTGAGGGTACAAAGAAGTCGCAAAGATGGGTTTAGAGTTACGGTGCAAGCTACAGTGTGTTGTGCTGGCAAAATGTGTGGTGCGGGGGGCCTGTGCTTGTTCTTTCTTTTCCTTCACCGCACAGGTTTGTCTCTCTCCCTCGCCCTCTCCCTGTCCTGTCTCTGTCGCTCTCCATATTTCCCTCTCTTCTTCCCATATCACTCCTGGCCATATCTTCCCACCGCAGCAAGGCGGGGTGGTGGTAGTAAGGTGACGCGGTAGGACATGGGGATCGCATCGGCACTTCATTCCTTTCCCTCGGTCTATGGCTGTTGCTCTCTTTTAAACCCTCTCCCTCTCACGGTCTCGCCCCACGGCAGCTAGGCAGGGTGGTGACACAGGAGCAGATGGAGGCCATCATGACACGCGAGCAGGAGGAGGAGGCGGTGAGTCACTCCTCTTGCTGCTTCTCTGCTGCCTCTCAGCTTTGAGTAGAGCGAGGGACGTGTGGGAAAGAGGAGCATGAGACGAAGAGGGGTGTGTCAAAATCCCAGCCACTAGACCACTGGGATAAAAGGGCTTGTTTGAATAGCGAGTAAGTGCACCCATAACCCCCCAGGCCAACATGCCTGTAACCCTTCCCTAGGATCAATCGGAGATCACCAGTGGACCTATGACACCCCCCCGTACTGAGATGCCCAAAGTGCATACACCGGGATTCGAACCCGAGACCTTCGCTCTGATACCATGTCAGAATCCCAGCCACTAGACCACTGGGATAAAAAAGGTTGTTTGTGTAATAGGTAAGTGCGCCCATAACCCCCCAGGCCAACATGCCTGTAACTTGCCCGAAGTCTTGGCAGGAATGAATGCACTGTGAAAGAATTGGATACAAGTATGAAACCCTAAACTGGGCTGTACCCCACATTGGCTACCCCAATACAGCCTAACCATATATATCATACATATAATTTGACACACCCCCATAGGCAAAGTCGGGGAGAGCAATGGGTCACAAGACCAGTCAAGAGAAGCAAAGCAAGCTCATGGTGGATCACAACGTCACCACACACACTGAGCACAAACAAACAGCCACAAGGCCAGTTCACATGTAGTGGTATATATGCAACAACAACAGCACACTGATCTCTACCTAGCAGAGCAAGCATGCAGGTATATATATAGATCACAGTACAAGCAAACTTTACAGCAAGTGAGGAAACCTGGGCACAAGGCCTAACAAAGTACAGAAACGCTGATGATCACAAGTCGGAAGTGCCTTGGTGAATATATCAGCAATGTTGGCCCGAGTGGCCACGTGAGCAAGACAAAGCTGACCATGCTGCTGCAACTCTCGAGCCAGGAAGTAACGCAGAGCGATGTGCTTTGTTCTGTGCTCTAGTCTCTGCTCCTGACACAAGGCAATAGCGGCCTTGTTGTCTACGTACAGCACTGGAGGAGAACAAGGCGGCTCTCCCAGGTCGGTCAGCAGGTAGGTGAGCCAGCGTAACTCCTATATAGCCTTGGCTGTGGCGTAGATCCCAGCCTCAGAACTGGAGCTGAGAACTGAAGACGAGCGTGTAGATTGCCAAGAAACTGAACCAGAGCCAAGGGTGAAGGTGTAACCTTGTGACAACCGCTGCGTAGCCTGGTCGTGAACCCAAGAAGCGTCTGA